CCAACTTGAAAAGCAAAAAGAATCCAAAAATATGAAGATAGTGTAAGGAGCCTCTGGGACAACTTCAAGCGAACCAACATCTGATATTATGGGGGTGCCAGAAGAAGAGAGAGAGCAAGATATTGAAAACCTATTTGAAGAAATCATGACAGAAAACTTCCCCTGCATGGTGAAAGAAATAGACTTACAAGTCCAGGAAGTGCAGAGCAACCCAAACAAGAGGAATCCAAAGAAGATCATACCAACACATCATAATTAAAATGCCAAGAGCAAAAGACAAAGAGAGAATCTTAAAAGCAGCAAGAGAAAAACAGTTAGTTACCTACAAGGGAGTACCCATACGACTGTCAGCTGATTTCTCAACAGAAACCATGCAGGCCAGAAGGGAGTGGCAAGAAATATTCTAAGTGATGAATACCAAGAACCTACAACCAAGATTACTTTATCCAGCAAAGCTATCATTCAGAATTGAAGGTCAGATAAAGAGCATCACAGACAAGAAAAAGCTTAAGGAGATCATCACCATCAAACCAGGAATGTATGAAATGCTAAAGGATATTCTTTAAGAAGAGGAAGAAGAAGAAAAAGGTAAAGATACAAATTATGAACAACAAAGTGACAACAATTAAATACCTATCAACAAGTGAACCTAAAAATTAAGTCAGAATAAACTGGTGAATATAATAGAAAGGGGCATAGAAAGGGAGTGGACTGACAATTCTTGAGGGGAAAAGGGTGTGGGGGATGCGGGAAGAGACTGGACAAAAATCTTACACCTATGGATGAGGATAGTGGCAGGGGGTAAGAGCATGGGGTGGGATGGGAACAAGGTGGAGGGGAGATATGCAGAAAAAAGAGGAACATCTGTAATAATCTGAACAGTAAAGATTTATTAATTTAAAAAAATAAGCAAAGAACAACCACAATAGAAAAAAAAAGAAAAAGAAATATTCAGCTGGTCCTGGCCCATGTGGCTCAGCGGTTTAGAGCATCGTCACGTGCACCGAAGGATCTCAGCTTCGATTCCAGTCAGGGCACATATTCAGGTTAGAGGTTCAATTCCCAGTTGGAGTGTATACAGAGAACAACTGATCAATGTTTCTCTCTCATATCAATGTTTCTCTCTCTTTCACCTGCCCTTCCTTCCTCTCTAGAATCAATAAAAAACATATCCTCGGATGAGAACAAAAAAAAAAAGAAAAAGAAATACTCAGCTATCTACCTTTTTATGTGGCCTGTCTTTCCTCTCTAGATTTTTGGATCTTCTCATTTTTGTTCGGAAATTTCACAGTGTGGCCAAAACCGGTTTGGCTCAGTGGATAGAGCATCGGCCTGCGGACTGAAAGGTCCCGGGTTCGATTCCAGTCAAGGGCATGTACCTGGGTTGCGGGCACATCCCCAGTAGGAGATGTGCAGGAGGCAGCTGGTCGATGTTTCTCTCTCATCGATGTTTCTGACTCTCTATCTCTCTCCCTTCCTTTCTGTAAAAAATCAATAAAATATATTTTTAAAAAAATTTCACAGTGAGATGTCTTGCTTATGGTACTGGACACTTTGTGGGCCCTTTCAATATGGAAACTTCTGTGCTTTATTTCTTATTTCTTTTATTTCTTTTCTATTTTCACGGTTCTCTCTGGATATCCTGGAGAGGTCTAATTTTATTCTCTCTATTTTTTCTAGTTTTATTTTTTATAGGAGACTTGGAAAGCTTTACCTCCCAACTCTGCTATATCCACATATATATATACTTAAAAATCCTATTATATTTTTAATATCTAAGGGCTCTCTGTATTGTTCTTCATTCCTTTGTTTCTATGCCTTTTTAAGCAAGTTTAATATATCCTGATTCTTGAATTATTTCTGTTTCTTCTGGGTTCCTTTAGTATGTTTAGATCACTTTGATGTCTCTTTTATATTGGGGTCTTGGGGTTTTCTACAAACACTTGTTGATTTTTGGCTATCTGTTCTTATTTAAGTGAGAGAAACTAAAATGCTGACTGGAAATGTGTGAAGGGTAAAAGGAGTACAGCAGAGCCCAGGGCTTGGTTGAACTCACCCTTGGTGATCAAGAAGTAAGCTGGCCTTTGTGTTAGGGAATTGCCCGATGTATTTGGAATTACCTCTTCTTGGGCAGTTCAATTTATTAGTTTAAAGATACTTACTCAGGCACGGTGTTAAAAAACAAAACAAACAAACAAAAAAACCCCACCAGAGATGAAACACAAAAGAAATGTACTATTTCAAAGTTCTGGAGATCAGAAGTCTAAAACCTAGGTGTCAGCAGGGCTACACTCTCTAAGAAAGAATCAGCATTTCTTGGCTTCCTTGGATTTGGCTACATCGCTCCACTACCTCCAGCTTCACATTGTCTTCTCTCCTGTGTGCCTCAAATCTCCTTCTGTTTTTCTTTTATAAAGACACAGTAGTAATTAGATCCAGGACCCACCAAATAATGCAGGATGATCTCCTCATCTCAAGATCTTAATTACATCTGCAAAGTTTTTTTCTAAATATTCACTCTTTTATATAACACTAGAGGCCTGGTGCACAGATGCGTGCACTGGTGGAGTCCCTCAGCCTTGGCCTGCGGGGACTGGGCCAAAACTGGCAGTCTGACATCCCACAAGGGTCCTAGATTACAAGAGGTGCAAATCCATGCACTGGGCCTCTAGTATGCATATAAGATCTTTGGTTAATCTCTTCCTGCCCTCCCTCCTCCCCGCTTCCCACTGAGATTCATCAGTCTGTTCCATGTTTCCATGCCTGTGTGTTAAGCGTCTGCCCCCTGGTGGTCAGTGTGCATCATAGCTACCGGTCGAACAGTCATTTAGGCTTTTATAATATAGATAGATAATAGCACAGATTCCAGGGCTTAGGGCATGGACACATTCTGCAGAGCCACCATTTAACTCACTACAGGAGGAATATATAAGAAGGGCTTCAGTTTACATGAGACAGGACAATGGGAGAAGGTTTATAGAAAATGCCTGATCTAGTGTTCGTCCTACCACTAGTATACTAAACAGGAAATAAATCAACTTTTTTACGCTTAGTATTCAATTCGAAGTGGTCCAGCCCATTGTTCATCACAGAACTAACTCCAAGAACTATCAAAGGGTAGTTAGCTTGTTCATACTTCCAAATACATACAGTTCATTCATATGACACCAAAAAACTAGTGGCTATGCTTTTTTAATGTTTGTTACGTTAAAAGGGCTCATCAGAGATGAGACACAGTTCACCCACAATGTCCACACTCAATATTCTTGCTGTTTATCTCCTCTAAAATAACCAATTAGAAGTCAGAGGCAGAAATATCATAAGAATATATCTGAAGACTAATAAATTCTCAAGTGTTGCTTTACAGTAAAACCATCTAAAATATCGTTGAAATAATTTTATAATATAGTGAATGGCAAAAAAAATAAACAAGTACATCTGAAAGTTTAGAACTATTCTGAAATACAGTAGATTCCTGGGCCTGGCCAGGTAAACATTTACTTATACAAGTAAAGGAATACAAACTTTGGCTGCAGGTAGCTTTTGATAAGTTTTGTTCTTGGATGTTAACAGGTATGTGAATCTCTGAATCTATTCTATCTTTTTTCTCCTCACAATTTCTTACAGTGCTTTCATCTCCATTGATATTATTAGTTAATTCCTCATCTGAAAAACAAACATTTTTGCAGTATCAGTGTGGCAATTCTCCTTACTGGTTAAATGACTAGTCATGTAACTATTCCAAGTTTCTAATCCTAGCAAGAAGAATTTAGAAATGGTTTTATATAACTAATGTAAATTAGTTTGCTAAATGCAATTCTGATGGGAATACAGTGAATTGTTGAAATCACTGGAGCTAACAATTTCCTGCTGTAAAAATGTTAAGTTTATTGACACTAAGGATAAGTCTATACTAAAAATGAATATAATAATTGATATAAATACTGTTACTTCTGTCAATATCAATTTAGCAACAATCTTTGATAATAATGGTTGAACTTTTAAGGTAAACACAATTACTTAAATAATTAGCAGCATCCCCCAAATTATAGCCCTCATGTCCTCATTCTTGTCAGTTTGGGCAGAGGCTGAGTGAAATTCAGTTGGAAACTTCTATAAAATAAGTAAATCTATAGGAAATGTGTACAAATCTAGCAATACTACTAATACCTGGTTTATGAGAAATTTCCTTCTCTTCTCTTTGACTAACTTGTGAGATGTTGGTCAATTCTTTATTCATATTGTCAATGGAATGAAAATCTCTATTATGTATGATTTCACTTTCTGCAAGGTCTTGTCTCCATTTTTCAACATTAGTTGTTTCTATTACTTGAGAATGAACAACTGTGGATAAAGGCTCATTTGAAAAATTTGGTTTTTGGCCTTTGTCAGTGTAATTCCTTTTAGTGCCTTCTTTCTTATTCACCTTTTCCACAATATGTGTATTTGTTTGATTCATTAAAGAAGTTGGTATGCTGGGGCTACTGCAATCCTGAGGCCTTTGGAATTGCTCCACATTAGTCAACTGCAAAACGTCATGTGTTGAAATTGTTCTTGTACAAGCCAAGGAAGTATGCTCAGGACTGTCTTGTGAGTGAACAAAAGAAGTTCCATATATGTATTGTTCATAATTTGCAACGTGTGGTTCAGAAACGGCTGTATTATCTGAATTAGAAAAATTAACAGCCTCCTGTTGTGGAAGTATGCTTAGGCCACCTGCTTTTAATTTACTGTCCTGTGAAAAATGGTCTTTAGAAGGTAAAGACTGCTCAAAATCCATTACTTCTCTATTTGTTATATTCTCTTTATCATTATAGTGGTTTTTGCAACTTGTAGAACATATCATCTTTTTAGACGTTATGGTCTCTTCAGAGGTACAGCAATCAACATGAATATCATTATTAAAATTTTCCCACTTATTAAGGTCCTCTCTTTTTTCATCTGAGTTAGTGTTTTCATGAGATTTATAAGGACTAATGTGCTGTTGTTCTTGGTGAGTTTGAGCCTGCTGATCTGGAGTAACAATGGGTAATTTGATTTCTTTATGTACAGAAAGTCCTGAGAAAGTAACAGCTTTAGCTTGGTCACTGGATTCTAATTCCAAGGATTTTATTTCTTGACTTTCTAATAAATCCAGGTTCTGGGTATGTGTCTCTTTGGGAACTGAATGAGTGTCAATACTGTTACTTAATCCATTTTCCAGGCTTGCCAGACCTGGGCTAAAAGGTTTACATGACTCTTCTGGAAGGTCATAAAGGGTTTGGAGAATATGCTGCTGATCAGTAACCAATCTACTTCTTCTGGAAGAAGACACAGCTACGGTCTTTCTTGAGTTTCTTTCTTGGATTGCCTTATGCACCTGAGTCCTTTTATATTGTTCATTTCTTCTTCCTTTATATTTGGATGCATTTGTGCTGGAATCCTTGACATTATGGAGATTGTTTTTTCTGAGTCCTGTAGAGTATATTTGGTTAACAGTTGATTGCTTATGCTTGAAGTTGCCAAATTTCGTGCTTTTGGAATTTTTTGGGTAATGTTCATTTACATCTTCTTTCTTTATAAATAAACCTTTTTTGCTTCCTTTATCAACTTTTATATGTTCTGGCTTCTGTCTGTTGGAATTTTCATCACAAACAAACCCAATGCAATTTTTAGAACTGAATTTTGGTTTCTATAGAAACAAAATATATAGTTAGCTTTAATTTTCAGCTGTAGTTCTATACTCGATTCATTCTGGATTGTTCATAAATTAAACTATTATTCCATTCAATTTTATAATTTGATCTAATCACAGGGACTGCTAAGATATATACAACCTGATTCTTCAGAAAAAGTAGACTAATGGAAGAAAGGCAAATATAATAGACCCAGTGTGTGTACTAATCTTTATTTTCTGCTGTACATTTCAATTTCTGCCAATATTTTAGCACTACCAATCTTACTAAATATAATTTAAAAATCTTAATCTACTTAATATTTATAGGCTCTCGAAATAAATCAGACAAAAGTTTCCTTGTAAAGGAAACTTAAGAATTTTTTAGAAACACTCTTCTTTCCCAATTGTTATACAGATAGAGCTAGAATTAAGAGAGTTTCTTCCTCTGGTATCTATGAGAGACTGTAGGTAGGGCAGCAGAAGAAGGATCTTAAAAACAAGAAGACATATCTGCTCCCAAATTGGTCTGCATGGAAAGATTATTGTGGGCTGCTAAGATTAAAACAGGAACAATGCTTCCTGCTTCCTGTCACTCATCACAACCCAAGCACCAGATGAAGAGTAACTGCCCACCATGTAAAGTTCGAAGGGATGGATTGACGCCTTTGACTCTTGTACTGTGTTTAGGCCAGAGGAAATTTGACATGGTTGATAACCCTAATGGCTCCATGAAGAGGAGGCAAAAGGAAATGTCTACCAATACATTAGTGTGCCCAGATATGCTACATTTACTGCTTCCCAAATTAACAGCCTAGAACCCCCTGATTCTCATATAATTATTCCAAAGTATCTTAAAAGCAAAGGTGAAGTCACTGTTCCTGATGCATGCTTCAGTAACTTTTCTTTCCTCTTTGATGATGCATTCTAAAAAAGTGGGTTTTTTTGCTAAACAGAGATATACCTTTGGCTGGGGTGCATCCTCTACATCTAATGGATCAGTGCTATCCTTTTGAGCTGTAAACAAAAAGAGAAAAATCAAAGAAAACAGCCTCCAGTGGCCAGACTCAGGACTCCTAAAACACGCAAGTCCCTTGCTATGAGAAAACGAGGTAGAATTAAGCAAAATTATGCAAACATTTTCTATTAAGATTGGCATAATCTTACATAATATTACTATAATTTCCATATGTATCAGAAACCAAAAGCTATCTTGAGAGAGAGCTGAGAAAATTTCTGTGGGTAAAGCAAAATTGACCTTAAAAATTAACTAAAGCCGAAACTGGTTTGGCTCTGTGGGTAGAGCGTCGGCCTGCGGACTAAAAGGTCCCAGGTTCGATTCCGGTCAAGGGCATGTACCTGGGTTGCGGGCACATTCCCAGTAGGAGATGTGCAGGAGGCAGCTGATCGATGTCTCTCTCTCATCGATGTTTCTGACTCTATCTCTCTTCCTTCCTCTCTGTAAAAAAATCAATAAAATATATTTTTAAAAAAAATTAACTAAAGACAGACACTAAACTCAGTATTTTTATATTCTCCACAGATATATCTAGATATTTAACTGTGTAAAACCTACTTTTATAAAGCAAAAAATTATTTCATAATTAATTGAATTATCGTTTCCTGATATGTTTGCTTAATAAAGTTCAGTCTGTTTCTCTTGTTTTCCAGTGAGATTAGGCTACCAGAAAGAAGTCTTTTGCTCTAAAGAACTTATTAATTGCCTCTAGGTGGCTTTTATCAATGAAGTTATTTCTTTACTATAAAAATAGAGTGATTTGATCCAGATCTTACTCCTTAGTCAATGACATTCAACAATTAGCTCTTGAGAAAATTACACACATATTATCTCTTGAGTGGAAAGAATTTGTTTTGTGTTTTTTTTTCAAAGGACTGATACTAATTATTCAACAAAAATTTACTGAATGCCTACTATGTATATGGTACTCTAGTATTCATTACTAGACAAAATAAACATCCTTTCCTTCATGGAGCTTAGGTTCGAATGGTGGAAGACCAAAAATAAAAAATAAGCAATTGTCCAATGTGTAAGATGGTGTTAAGTACCAGGAGAAAAGGATAAATATTAGTACAGTAGGGTAAGAGGATTGAAATGTGGTAGTTCTAAAAACATGTTCATAAAATTTTTGATACCCTTCCATTCAAGAGGTGGAGCTTAATTTTGTTCCCCCCGAGTGTGAGCCAGACTTAAGAGACTCACTTCTAACAAGTAAATATAGCAGAAGTTATTCTATATCAATTCCAAGATTAGGTTGTAAAAAGCCTGTGGCTTTTGTCTTGGGTGCATTCTCTCCTGGAGTATAGTACTTTCTCTGAGCCAGCTTTTAGGTCATCAGCAGCCCTGGAAAAGCTCAATTGGCAAGTAACTGAAGGCACCAGCTGACAACCAGGGCAGGAAAATCCAGTTTTTGTTTGTTTATTTGTTTTTACATATAGAGTCTTTTTTAAAAAACAAATACCTTCATTTATTTCTGTTCTGGATCCATGAGAACTTTTTTTAATTTTATTGATTTTTTGCAGAGAGGAAGGGAGAGGGATAGAGAGTTAGAAACATCGATCAGAGAGAAACATCAATCAGCTGCCTCCTGCACACTCCCCACTGGGTATGTGATCGCAACCAAGGTACATGCCCTTGACCGGAATCGAACCTGGGACCCTTCAGCCCGCAGGCCGATGCCCTATCTACTGAGCCAAACCGCGTCGGCCTGCGGGCTGAAGGATTAATATATATACTTTTTTAAAAAAGAATGGAGCAAGGACACCATTGGGTGGATTTTCTCAAAATGTACAAGGAAAATAAATTTAATTTCTATAATTTTAAATTAAATTTCTGTAATTCTCTACTGACATGGTGAACAGATATAACAAGGCAATTTAATCTTACCTGAAGTAAGATGTTTTTGATGTTTAGGAACATAGCTCTCAAGAAGTTGCCTCATACGTATACCTTGGGCCACATCCAAAGCACACTTTCCATTGGCATTTCTAAATAATGGATCAGCTCCATTGAAAAGAAGTAACTCTGCCACCTAGAGGAAGATTGTTCAAATGAGGGAACATGTACAAAAGATACATTATTGTAAATGTGTGCTAGCATACAACTCTAAGCAACATCAAATATTTCTTCCAACAATACAAAGTTTGGGTTTACCTATAATATCTTGCCCAATAAAAAATTTAATATAATTGCTACTGAACCATAATTTGTTGATATGCATATCACTTTTCTTATAAAAAATTAGGGAGGGAGGAGAGGAGAGGGGAGGGGAGGGGAGGGGAGGGGCGGAGAGGAGAGGAGAGGAGAGGAGAGGAGAGAAAGAAAGAAGGGAAGAATGGAAAAAAAGAAGGGAGGGAGGAAGGGAAATATCTGCATTTCAGCTGCTCCTGAAATGGGGCTAGATATACCAAGAATGAGGACCGGGTTCTGCAGTAGTAAATGTTAGTGTAACAGGCTCCAGGAGATAGTTGTCTTCCACCTATACCTGTGATGCTGCTGTTCTCCTCAGAGTGTCAGAGAGAAACTGGTCAATCTTAATCTGTTACTATCCTTAAGGAACCTCTTCTGTGAAGCTCTTTCTGACCTTCTTTTCCACTGCTGTCCTAGAGAAAAATAAGCTCTCCCTTCTATCACGTATATATTTTATCTTAGTGCCCAATATACTCTATATTATACTTATTTCTTTTCTAAAAAACATATTTTTATTGACTTCAGAGAGGAAGGGAAAGGAATGCTGGGGTCCAACCCCAGCAGGTCCAGGGGTTCCCCATAGGTGTGGACGGAGTCGGCGAAGAAGGAATGGACGGAGACAGCGTTCAGTTGATCAGCAGCCTTGCCAGGATCTCTAGCCACAATCTCCAGCCAAGTTCTGTGTCCATGTTCTCTTGCAAGGTTCTCCAGCCAGGTTCAGACACCAGGTTCTAGTCAGGTTCTCTTGCCATGTTCTATCCAGGTTCTGTAGCCACGTTCTGTCTCTAGGCTCTTCAGCCAGGTTCTCTCGCTAGGTTCTGTCTCTAGGTTCTGTTGCCAGTTTC